GATGGGCTTGCGGGCCTATGGTTGTTTTTAAACAAGTCCGTTGGTCCTCTAAAAGTTTTAAATTTATAAAACCCTAGTGCCTGCAAGTGCACAGATCTACGTTGTAGGACTTAGGGTGTCGATCCACAGGGAGGATGTCTAATCTGCGAGAAACAACAAACTGGGAAGTAAGCAAAGTCATAAACCAATAAAAGTTTTGGGGTTTTTGGTTAAGAATCCTAAACTAAACCTAATCTAATATTCACGAAAAATAAAATGCAATGCAGGATGAATTGTTAAAAGAATATCTCAAGCATATCGACTCAAACTAAAGACTCTTAAACTCATAGGTGGCGATTTAGACTTCTCCGGTTTACTCTAATCGATGTATGATGGCATTTCCAATTAGCTTTCGGGTGATTTATCTTCATCTGTTTCTGGGAATCTGCATAGAACTAGAATAGACATATGTATGATTAACCAACTCTCGTCACCTTAATCAACTAATCACTTAGATCTAGCAATTAACTCTCGCTCTCATGCTAAACTTAAGATCATGCATTAGACATTGAATTCTTCTGCTCACATCTTCTCTATAGGTAGCTTTCGACTCCTATAGCGACTATGTTCTTTTGAAGCTAGGTACGGATGATCTGATACAGCACTCTCATGGCTCTGATCGATCCTAGGCTCAGAGAATAGGTCATGAATCTACTCTCATGCTTTATGAACAACTTAGAAGAGATGAGATCCAGAATATGGTCTAGAACAATATAAATCCTATCGATATATATGCTTGTCGATATATTCAAACAACTTGACTCTCTGGGACTAATCTACATGATGCAATGAATGATAATAGACATAGAAGAATGCAAAAGAATAAAACAGAAAAACTAATAAGATAAAAAGGAGAAAGAACAATGGATCTGGGGAAGAATCCCCATCTCCATCGCCTAACCCTAAAAAAAAAAAGTTTGGTGGCTCAAAATCTCATTACAGGAGTACACACCCGTTTAGGGCTGCTAAACAATGTATTTATAGGTCCTAGGGTCTTCCAGGTCTCATTTAGGGCTTCTCTGAAGAGGAATGGCGAAGTGGGCTTTGATGTTGGGCCTTGTGGCTCGTCCTAAGGTCCACCGGGGGTGAGAGTCTTCCAAGACTGGTAAAGCATGTGTTCTCCGCAGGGGATAGTCTTTCGGGACTGGTGAACTAGGTCAACTTGTTCTCCATGTATCTTTTGATTGCTATGGAAAGCTGGTTGTCTCCTCTTGATTTTCTCCAAATTTGAGCTGGATCAGACGGTGAGAAAGTCTTCATTTGAGGCTGAACTTCTGACGGTCTGACTCTGAGCTGAAAAAGTAGATTTCTTCCATTTTGTCATCATATTCCCTAAGTTTCCTGAAAAGAGCCTTGAAACTACAAATACATGGAAATCATAATAAAAGTTCCTAAAACTGATTAAAACCTTTGAAAAAGCATTTGAAATCGATGGTGAAAAGTGGCCAAAATCAGGTGCTATCAATGATTCTAACCTCATGCATTAGATTCAACTTAGAAGATATGAGATCTAGAATATGGTTGAGAAAAACTAGCAATCCTAATCGAACATATATCCCTTCCGATAGATCCTTATAACTCAACTACTAAACTAATATAGCATGATGCAGGAAAAGATAAAAAAAAATATGAAAGATGCATAAACTGAAACAGAAAATATAGATAGATAAAAAGAAAGAAAGAAGATATGTCAAAAGTTCAAGGGAAGAATCCCTCTCTTCTTCGTGTAACCCTAAGAAATAAAGTTTGGTGGCTCAAAAACTCATTACAGGAGTACACACCCGATTAGGACTGCGAGTTGTGATGGACCGCAGGTGAGAGTCTTTCAGGACTGGTGAAATGATGGTTCATTGCGGGTGAGAAGTGTGGGACGCGGCCAGAAGGTGTTTTGCCGCGGGTCAGCTGAAGGTCGGACTGGTTGACAAGACAACTTGATCTTCATATATCTTTTGATTGCACCATACGTTGAATTGTCCTGAAGTAAAATGTTATGAAAATTCAGATGGATCCTCTTGAATGTCTCCAAATTTGAGCTGGATCATATGGTGAAAATGTCTTCATTTGATACTGAACTTCTGACGGTTTGACTCTTAACTAAAAATGTAGATTTTTTCCATTTTGCCATGTTTTTCCCTAAGTTTTTTGAAAAGAGTCATGAAACTACAAATATAGAAAAACTATAATAAAAACTACTAAAACTAGTTAAAACATTTGAAAAAGCATTTGAAATCAATAGTGAAAATGGATACAAATACAGTGTTATAAAAGCCATTAGGATTTGTAGAACGTGGCTGTTCTGTAGGGTAAGCAAGGATGAAATCTACAGTTTCAGCCATTAAACCTCTGGCTTATCCCTCGATTACACATTGACAGCGAGCTGCACTTTCAATGGGATCTCTGCAGTTTATGTACTGTATGGTGACTTCCTGCACGTATTCATTACTTCCTCTCTTGATTTTTTAGGTTGAGGCAATGTAAAGTCTTCCTTGTCCAGGTTTCTCTCAAGAGTAGGTCGGACCACTTGGGGAGGAGTAGGTCTGGAGGTTGCTGAGGATGTTCTAAGTCGGTTTTTCCCTCCACAGTTGGTGAATTGGTGAGATAGTAGGGCCTTGAGATCAAGCCTTTTTGGGGAGGTTCTATCGAGGTTCATGGTGGCTCTCTCCTTGCTGCGGGGAGAGACGGAGTTGGGGAGATCTGTTCCTCTGGTAAGAGTGAGAGTCTGCTTGGGTTCTGCATGGGATCTTATTGTGGAGAGGATCCTCCATGTAGTGCTCTCTTGAGTGATGAGAAGAAACTTTAGCACCACCATTTTGTCCCTGGGATGGGCGTTCGCCAAAGTATCTACCGTATCGGTCTTTCCTCTTGCTGCTTCCGTAAGGGCTCAGGCAAGGCTGTACCTTGAGTTTTTTCATCTGTTCTAGGGCGTTGTTCACTCTGACTGAACTTTTGTGGGCAGACTTCTTTCATGTGCGTGAGTTTGTAGCAGTAGGAGCAGTGGTTCTAGAGTCTTTCATACTCCAAGGTTACCAAGGCTTCTCTTCCATCACCAAATTTCTCTATTGTTTCCTTAGTAAGAGCCTTCAGCCTGTTAATCTTAACTTTCATATGCGCTCAGGTTCTGGTAACTTTGTACTCTAACAAGGTACCAATTTCTTTCCCTATTTTGCTGATGAGCTCTTTTTTCTGTAATGGAGTGGGATTTCTTTGAGTCTGATCCAGAACAGGATCTGGGATGGGAAGATTGAAGATATTATCGGTTCCCATTTCTGGAGGATAAGCATCCAGTTTGCGAAGTGGGACAGACGGTTTGCGAGAACTTTTTGGAGGTCATCTTCATGGTCAAACCGAAACTGGAAACAATTATTTATGAGGTCAGATCTGATGGCTTTACCACGGAGATCCCACCATTCGAGATATAGGGGATATAGCCCTTACTCGTTGCACATAAGGGTTTGTCAAGCGGACAATAAGTGTCAAGGCATTTTCTTCAATAAAGTCGGTGGTGTCCACATCAGGTGCTCGGATACATTTTCGTGGTGGGGGAGATGGGGACCGATTGATTTCCTTCCCTTTTTCAGCTTTTGTGAGACGTCGGTTCATGGTGGTCGTAGTAGTCGAGACAAACATGAGAGATTTGAAGTCCGTGGATGAAACCGAAGATGAAAAATGAGGACTCTGAATGCAGGATGAGAAGCAGCTTCCTATTGTAACGAGGTTCAGATGAGCAGCAGGGGATCCATTGGAACAGGGAAACAGAGGAGGCACACAGCCAAGAGGGAGCAGAGGAGCTTACCGGCGGGGGAAAAACGGGCCCTCCGACAAGGAGTCGAAGGGCGGAACCACAGTTTCACGAAACCTGAGGTGGTTTTGAGTTCAAAAGTTTACTATTTTGGATAATACCGGTTAGTTGTACTCAAACCAAGGAACAGATAACAGAGGGTTGAAAAGGAGAATATGTTTGGGAAAGAAATTTGTTGCTAACTTCGGGACTAAGATTCATCCATGAAGTCTGCTAAACCTTAAACTCCAAATATACTTCATGTAAAGCCTTTAGTTAGATTAATAATGTTTGATTTAGCAGAGTTCACTTGAACTCTTGTAAACTTAAACGGAAATCTATAAACTCTAAACCCTAAATTTAATATTTCTCACTTTGTAGTTAACACCCTATACTAAACCTAATATCAAACATTAAAATCTTTGATGTATGCATATGAAATGCATAACTCAAAATTTAACCAACCGTTATAATTACCTAAATAATATTAAACCAAACCCTAAACTATAAGGGGATTCCTATAAATTTGTTGGTAAACTAGCCAAACGTATAAGCACTAAATATGGACCCATGATATATAACCATAAACTCGTAAAACCTATTCATACAAACCCTGAGCACGTTTTAGCAATACTTTCAATAAGATATTATATTTATTTTTAAATATATAATATTAAAATACTATATATTTTAATACAATAATCAATACATATATTAAGAAAAAATCTATTCAAAATCTTGCACTAGTTTTCATTATAATTTATAGTATTTTATTTTAATATATATCAAAACAAAATTTAAAAAGGGTGAATTTCATTGCAAAATGGGTTAAGTAAACATGTTAGTCTGGTTTTACAATACTCTATTTTTAATAATTATTTAGATATATTATAAATTTTAGAAAAAATATCAATATAAATTTTATGAAAAAATTATCAATCTTAATATATTAAATTATATAAGCTTTGGAATTGATTTTTTCATGCGAAAAACAAACTAAATATCTGTTTCTTCAGTTTTCGTTTGAAGAAATAATACCATGTGGCCTTGGTCAACTACTTCAGTTAATTAATATTTAGTTAGATGTTGAGGACTGAGGTATATGGCAGTAGGTCGTTTCTATGTCCTCCCTCTGTATTTTCCTTTTAAGAAACGCGGCTATTCATCAAGTATAAATGATTAGTGACTCCATAAATCGATATATCTATAACACAATGAATAAAATCGTATACATACATACATACATACATACATACATACATACATACATACATACATACATAAGCCTAAAAATATATTAAACTGAAAAGAAACCAAAACTGCGTAGAAGTAGAACAAAACAAGAACAAATGTAGAACAAAATGTGAAACTAGGCGTCCTGGTGATGTGGTCCGGTGGTGGTACCATTGACGCCATTAGAGTACTTGTTCGCAATTGGTGCAGCAACTGAATTACCTCCACGTCTCTTACGTCGAAGAACAATAAACCAAGTGAGTGGTTCAAGAATCACAACGCAGGCACCAAGAAAGATGAGGATGCCAATGTAAGCCCAACGCCATTTATCAGCCGGGTCCAAAATGTCAAATCCTTTAAATATGTTGATAATAGAGAGGATGATGGTTGTGTATCCCACTGTGTGATGGTACACGTTCCAGTAGAATCGATACTTGTGGTCTGGCTTTGGCCTAAGAAGCAGAGCAAATACTTGTAGGGTGGCAAATGTGAAGAGTGCAATTCCAAGGTTGCGATGGGTTGAGTAAGATGTGCCTGGTGAGTCGTTGCCAAGCTTGATTCCCGTGGCCCAACCGGCGACACCAATAACGTAACCGGAGACTTGGAAGGCTATGTGGAGATAGAACCAAGTCGGGTCGGTGAAGACTTTCATGTACCGAGCCATCATTGCTCCCATTGGCATTAGCACTCCCCAACTAACCGCATTTAGTATTCCGTGTGTCTGTTTTATCCATTAGCATTAGTTAACAGTAATTAGTTATTTAGTGATAAATTTACCATTCAAACTTAAATCGCATAGTTGAAATTCATAAGTTTCTAGCAATATGACTGTTTCATGTCAGTTTTTGATATTGGAAGAGAAGACAGACATTTCTATTTTATCTAGAAGAACCATTTTTCTTTCTCTAAGTTAGTCAAATAGCTTAGAATGTTAAATGGTTGTTGACAAAAAGAAATAGGGTTCTATGTTTATAAATACTTGAGAGAAATAAATTATGACCCGTAATTGAATTTTCATGAAGTCTACTAACAATAGTTTTCAAATATCATTTTGATTGTGGAAAGTGGAGAGAGATATTTGAGTTAGGTGAAAGTGAAACCGTGACGAGGAAGCCCACTTTCTTTTTCAAAGAAAATCTAACAAATGCATCGTTGATATTTTTGACTAACTTGCAAGAAATAAATTAATAATTTAATTGAATGCTTGGCTTTAAAATACGCCATCATTTCGTTGTATGTTGACAAACTTGTCAATATTTATTTGTCTTATTACGACAATTATTATTTGACAAAAAACATATTTAATAGTAAAGAAACTCGTTGTCCTCCATTTTCAAATATATTTCTAAGCACACTTATTTATTGTATTATATATTCTTTTTAATTCTCTTAGATAGTTCTTGAAATTACTATTTTTGAAAAAAATGTTTCAAAAATTATCATGCTTCGAGTCCGATCGAAAGAAAAAACTTATCATTAAAACCTAAAATTCTAAAAATACCAAAAAATCATAAACTTCATAAAATTATAAACATATATAAAATAATTTTAATTATTTTAATAAATTTACCAAAATTTTAAGAATCCTTCATAAACCTACAATTTTATGGGAATCTTATGACTTTTTCCAAAACAATTAATTAAAAAAAATTCTTCTGGTATTTCCTAGTGTTTTCAATTTTATTTTCTTAAACTAGATGTTCTAATTTTTTAGAAAGAACTATCTTATTCTTATCTAATGTTATTTTGGTTCGTTGTTAATCACGATATTTAGCTTTTGAATTGCTAATTCTACAATTATTGGTTTCTAAAATATTCTTTTTAATATTTCCGGAAATAAGTATTTTCAAATTCGTGCAATATCAATCAAACAAGGGAAGTTGAGAGTACTGAAGCAAACTTACATTTCTCTTCCTCATCCTGTCACCGGAACCACCACTAGCCGATGACTGTCCTGACCGGAAATCGATCCTACCGGTCGATCTCATATTATCTCCCGTCATTGGATGACCCTGAGGAACACTATTGGAGAGAGGACCCATTTGCCAAACCTGGTTAGTTGTGATCAAATTTGGCGGCAACTCAAGAGTCGCAAAAATCGTAGCCTCGCCATTAACCAACGTCGCTGAGATGCGGCTCACGGGGAAACTGAGGCTTCCGCGCTGGATCGAGCTGTAACCATTAATCGGAGATGTGTAGGCTTGGAATTGGCCACTAGAATTGGTGTAGGCGACGAGAGCTTGTGTCCCCAACATCTGAGTCCCACCTGGGTTAAGACCCCAAGCAATCCAAGAAGAAGAAGAGGTTCCAGGGTGGCGAAAGGCGATTGAAACGGTGCCGTTTTGCTCGTTGTATGTCCAGTGAAGGAACGAGCCAAGGGCTTGGAGGGGAGAGCACTGAGTGAAATCGAGGTTATTGGCGAACCTATGGCTTTCACAAGTTGATTGGCCGTTCACGGTTAAGACAAGGAGTTGAAGTATTGTCCAAACAGCTAACAGAGACTTTGTTCGATCCATTTTTGTTTTTTCTCTCTGTTCCTTACTTGTGTTCTGCTTTTGAAAGGTTAGATGAGATTTGAGAGTTTGAGGTTTTGAAGATATTTATAGAACTGTGTTAACGCGGATGCTTTTTTAAAGTCTACGGAAGTTGTTCTTTGTTGACTTGATTTTTTTTTCGCTTTTGTTTTACTTTCTCTTTTTCAGATATGACGAAAGAAAAACACTCAAATTTTTCATAATTTAAGGGTTTTGTTTTGTTTTCTTCATTTTTTAATAACACGAGAAACAGAATTATATCATACTCTCCCTATTTCAGAAAGTTTGATTTTCTACCTTTTTCACATACATTAAAAAATAATATATATATATATAGATATATATTATTTTCTATCACTATACATGTTTCCTTAATTATGAGCCAATAATAATTTATCAAATTCAACTTTTTTCAATTACTACATCTTAAAATTAACTGTTTGTAAACATTAATCATTAAAAAGTAAATAAAAATTACAAAAACTCAAAACTTCTGAAACAGAGAGAGTGTATATGTCAGAAATATACGTGAAAGTCATGCTATTTTTTTTTTAAAAAAAATGTTCAATAAATTAATTAATTAATTTACAAGTTCATCAGTCATATTTAAAAAAAAAATGACCAACAATGACTACAATAAACTCTTTTCAGCATTACACGTTCACAAGTTGTGAAGAATTTATTTGCATTAAAAAAAAACTTACATGATACATTTCTCAAAAATCTTTGGTAAAATTAATATGAAATATAATTCGTAAAAAGACTACAATAAATAAATATTAACGCAGTTACTCGTTAAGTTTTTTTTTTGTTAAAGGGCTTTGTTACTCTTTAAGTTGTAGGAAAAGGAAAACAAAAGAAAATTGCTAAAAAGTTTAACAGTGTTTAATTGACTGTGGATTAGGTAGATATTAGTGTTGGAACCCAATATTAATAAGCATTTGGACTTGTAATATTGAGTTTGTGTTTAAATAAGAAATGAAGTTTAATAAGCAAATGAGTTTTATAAATTCATTTGAGATTTGGGTTTGAGCTTATGGAAATGAAATGTTTCAATTGGCTATAACTAAAAGTGGAAGTTTAGTAGAATTGTATTTGTCCCACATTGCTCACCAAGGAGAAAAATCTCTTATATATATATGGCCTTCTCACAATAAGGATCAACAGCATTGTGGAAGTAAAAAGGCATTATGCAAAAACACATATGCGCGCTGCCGTTGTCGCCGGTGCCGGTGCCGGGCTCGTGCTCGTTGCATTTTTTAGTTGGCTCTTAGGACTCTTGGGCTCTATATAGCTGGGTGTGGGTCGTGGGCTTCTTAGTTCCTGCGAAATAGTTTTTGCATATTGAAAGGATAAATCTTAGGAAATAAAAGATTGCGTCCAGATAATAACGGAAGATTTCCGAATCCTTTTACTTGTGGAAAAAAGAGAATATTTCGTGAATATTCCTTTTTGCCAAAGCTTATTCCTTGCGGATCAAGCTGAACCTTCCAGTATAAATAGACGCCCTCTTCTCTCATTCTAAATCATCGAATTCTCGAATACACCAAACACACAACAAATAATTCTTTCCAACAAATCTCTCTCGTCTTAATATCGTAAGTGTGATACGATCCTAGGTGATCAACTCTGAAGCAAGAGGCAATAGATGTGGCGATGTGGTGGATGGGATGCAGCGATGATGCGATGGAGTGGTGATGGTGGCTGGTTGCGTGACTCGATGGGATGGTGAAGGTGGTTGCAGCGGTCGGATCAATGATTTGTGATGGTGCGAAGATCGATTGATAGTGTGGTGGTAGTGTGATAATCGAATTGATGATGATGAAGGATAGAAGAATCTCTTGTAAACAGATTAGTTTTAAGAGATTCGAATTTCAGAGTTTTTAGTTCTCAGAAATCGAAAAGAGAGAAGAACACGTTAAAAGTTTGATCAAAATTCTTCACTGAATATGACATAGGCGATTTTCTCTACTTTATAGAGTAAGAGAGAAAATCGCAGCCCTAATAACAAACTACACGAAGTCTGAAATAAAAACAACACGAAGTTTGATTTAAAAATAAAACAGCGAGGCGTCCCTTCTAAATCCTAAGTGGTGCGCCTAAAACAACTAGTGCACAAGTCATTGTGACTTTGCACATTATTACCCATTAGTAACAACTTCTAAGTAACTCGACGTAGCAATGATTTCTGCCTCGTTAAAAACCTTGGAGAAGAACCTCCTTGCCTTCCAAAATCCTCACCAAGGAAAAGAGTACAGAATCATCACCTAAGTTACCTAGTCATTGTTACTGGGTTCTTCATTCCTCAAGATAGAGATGTTGAAGATGTGAGCTCCAGCCTCCTGGTGATCGCTGTCCTCTGTGGCAATGAGTGCGTGAGCCTCCTTAGCCATCTCTCTAGCTCTGGACCGAGTGATCCTGCCAGCTACTTCTGGTTCCTCCTCCTCTGAGCTGGTCACGATCATATCATCCTCTCCCTCTTGAAAAGGATTTGCCCTCAAATCTGAATCTGCAACAAAAGGAAGCAAGTCAGAAACATTGAAAGTATCAGAAACATCATACTTACCTTGAAGATCAATCTGATAGGCGTTGTTGTTGATTCTTTTGATGACTGCGAATGGTCCATCAACTCTGGGCATTAGCTTGTTCTTTCGCTCAGCTGGAAATCGCTCCTTCCTCAGATGGATCCACACCAGATCTCCTTCTTTGAAAATCAGCTCCTTTCGTCCTTTGTTGGCATGCTTCTCATACTGCTTTGTCTTCTTCTCGATGTTCTCCTTAGCCTTAGCATGTATTCTTCGGACCTGTTCAGCTTGCTCCTTGCCATTCAAACTGCATTTTCCACTTAAAGGCAAAGGGATCAAGTCTAGAGGTGATTGTGGATTAAACCCATATACAATTTCAAAAGGAGAAAAGAGAGTAGCAGAATGCTTAGCGTGATTGTAAGCAAACTCGACATGAGGCAGGCACTCTTCCCATGTCTTGAGGTTACTTTTCACCAAAGTCCTTAGAAGTGTGGACAACGTTCTATTCACCACCTCAGTCTGTCCATCGGTCTGAGGATGACACGTAGTTGAGAATGAGAGCTTTGTTCCCAGCTTAGCCCAAAGCGTTCTCCAAAAGTGTCCTAAGAACTTCGTGTCTCGATCTGAAACGATAACCTGTGGCATTCCATGCAGTCGTACTACTTCCCTGAAAAACAAGTTAGCTACATTCACAGCATCATCTGTCTTGTGGCTAGCGATGAAGTGAGCCATCTTGCTAAACCTGTCAACAACTACAAAAATAGAATCTCTACCATTTCTGGTGCGAGGTAAGCCAACTACAAAATCCATAGAGATATTAGTCCAAGGTTGAGAAGGAATAGGCAAAGGAGTATACAAACCGTGAGGTTGAACTTTACTCTTAGCCATCTTACATACGACACATCTAGAGCAGATTTTCTCAACGTCCTTCTTCATGTTCGGCCAGTAGAAGTGCTCTTGTAGCCCAAGAAGTGTCTTTGTGACGCCAAAATGTCCAGCTAATCCACCTCCATGAGCTTCTCGTACCAGTAACTCTCGAATGGATCCTCGTGGTATGCACAATCGGTTACTGAAGAACAAGTATCCATCCTGTCTATAAAATTTCTCACAGGCAAACTTATGACATTTGGCATAGCTCTCAGAAAAGTCAGTGTCAGATTCATAAAGATCTATAATATGCTCAAATCCAATCAACTTTGATGTTAAAGTCGAAATAAGAGTGTACCTCCGGGATAATGCGTCTGCGACCACATTATCTTTACCTTTTTTGTACTTAACAATGTAGGGGAATGTCTCAATGAACTCCATCCATCGCCCATGTCTTTTGTTAAGCTTCTGCTGACCCTTGAGGTGCTTTAGAGACTCGTGATCGGTATGAATGACGAATTCCTTAGGCCATAGGTAATGCTGCAACGTCTGGAGAGCTCGAACCAATGCGTATAACTCCTTGTCATACGTGGGATAATTCAGCGTTGATCCTCCTAACTTTTCGCTGAAGTAAGCGACGGGCTTCTTGTCCTGCATAAGAACTGCTCCAATACCTACACCAGAAGCATCGCATTCAATCTCAAAAGTCTTAGTAAAATCAGGAAGTACTAGTAAGGGCGAATTGATAAGCTTCTCTTTAAGGGCTGTAAAAGCCTGTTCTTGCGCTTCTCCCCACTTGAACCCCACGTCTTTCTTGATCACTTCTGTTAAGGGCGCGGCTATGGTGCTGAAATCACGAACAAAACGCCTGTAGAATCCTGCTAAGCCATGGAAACTTCGGACTTCTCCAATATTCTTGGGGGTTGGCCACTCCTTGATAGCTTTTATCTTCTCTTCATCTACTTTAACTCCTCCTGCACTTACTACAAAGCCTAAGAAAACAATCTCGTTAGTGCAGAATGAACATTTAGATAAATTAGCAAAGAGAGATTGAGAGCAAAGAACATCAAGAACCGATCTGATGTGATCTAGATGTTCTTCCAAACCTTTACTGTAGATGAGGATATCGTCGAAATAAACCACTACGAACACGCCAATGAATGGTCTCAGGGCATGGTTCATTAGTCTCATGAAGGTGTTGGGAGCATTGGTGAGGCCAAACGGCATAACCAGCCACTCGTAGAGTCCTTGCTTTGTCTTGAATGCCGTCTTCCACTCATCTCCTTCCTTCATTCTGATCTGATGATATCCACTCTTCAAGTCTATCTTAGAGAAGATTGTCGATCCACAGAGCTCATCCAGCATATCGTCTAGTCTTGGAATCGGATGCCTATACTTTACCGTGATGTTGTTGATAGCTCGGCAATCTACACACATCCTCCAGGAACCATCTTTCTTTGGCACCAACAGAACTGGAACCGCACATGGACTCAAGCTTTCTCGGATATGTCCCTTGCTCATCAGCTCTTCCACTTGCTTCTGCAGCTCCTTAGTCTCTACAGGATTGGTTCGGTATGCTGGCCTGTTAGGTAAGGCTGATCCTGATACCAAGTCAATCTGATGCTCTATCCCGCGAATTGGAGGTAG